GGATCCTAGCCCGTACTGACGCCGGTGTAACTGTACTGGCTGGGAACCGCCTGCCAACCGAATGTGAACGGGCATTCTACCGAATAGTGACTAGGCCAGGAGCGCGCTGGCAACCGGCTCGGAACTGGCATTCTACCGCCCGCTGACCGGCCGGGAGAAGCCGTTCCGTGTATAATTCAACCGGCTGGGACCTGGCACTCTACCGACCGCGGATTTTTCATTTAATAGCCAGCCGAGCGCTGGCATTCTACCGACTGACAACCGGGTCGGATCCAAATGATAATTTTAACAAATATCAATACAAAAAATAATAATTAATTGCAAAAGATAAACACTAATGACAATTCATTGACAGTTCACTTTACACATTTTTTTTATTTTTTTATACACTTAAACGTAATTTGTTATTACATACACATTTGAAAAATCCTAACGCTTGGAGGTACGAAACCTACGCCTAACCGAATATTTACCCACCGAAATCTCGCACGCTAACCACTATGCTACGCTCGCATGGGACTCTCAAATCTTAAATACTCTCAAGTGTCACAAGCTGAAATAAAACTTGTAGAATTACTACGCGTCAATGATACCGCTATATTTTCAATACTTTATTGAATGTATATTTAGGACTATTTCAATATTACGCTAAAAAAGAAACTTGTTATATTTTTATTATTATATAATACATATATTGAATAATTGTCTTTCAATATAATAATATTGAACGTAATAATATTAATAATTTTAATTAATATCTCAATAATAATAAATTTATTATTATTAAGATATTATTAATTAACATTAATATTATTGAGAATTAATAATAAATTATCAATATTTATTAATAATATATCAATAACCATAAATTTATTATTATTGAGATATTAATTAAAATTATTAATATCATTACCTTTAATATTATTATATTGAGAAACAATTATTCAATTATTATTGAGATATTATTAATTAATATTATTATTAATATTAATAATTTTTTATTAATTCTCAATAATATTAATGTTTGAGTACCTGCATGCAACAACTCGCCGAGCGCTCGGACGCACTCTCTAATACCAGTCGGGTGGCAGTGAGTGGCGCAGAGGCGCTCACTGCTCCCCGACTGTTACTAGCGCTTGCGTCCGAGCGCTCGGCGAGTTGTTGCATGCAGGTACTCAATTAACAATATATAATATTAATTAATAACGAATTTTTCTAATTATTTAATTTTTAAAAAAGTCTCAATAAATAATTACTTAATATATTGATTAGATTCATTTATTAATAATTATTTTCTAAAATAATGCAATTACTTGTAATAATTATTTAATTTATAATGTGACAATAAATGACGAGATCCGCAGTCGGATCCGCCCCAGTACCGAGCCAGTACAGACTTAACATATCCGTCATTCTTCCGACGCCGCAGAAGAATAAGATCCGCCGGCGGAAGAAATCCAGTACCGAGCCAGTACTGACAATAGTGGGAAGACGGTTCCGACAATCGGAGCATAATCTGTACCGCGCCGGTTGCTTTTTCAGATCCGAATCGGTACAGACCGTCGGTACTTGCGGTCTGTACGGGCGCGGATCCCAGCCGGTTGTAAACTCCGACGTTCGTCCGACTTTTCCGCCTGGGAAGTTACAAATGTTTATTTTAGTTAATTTTGTATTGATTTCGAATAGTTATAAAGTGAAGTGTTCAACTAATTATTCCTAAATAATAAAATAAAGATAAATATTAAAAACATTGAAGATTAAATAAAAATATAATAAAACTTTAAATTTATTTGCATAATATAAATAAAATGCTAAAATATGGAAAAATATTTGAGTAAAAATTATTATTCACTTTATATATATAAGTTTTTGTTTAGCGGTATTGTATATTGGCGTTGTTTTGCTCACATCCGCAAGCGAGCGAATAGCGTAGTGGTTAGCGTATTAGACTTCGGTGCGTAGATTAGGATAGGCTTGGGCTTCGTATCCCACTGCGAGCGTTTAGAATTTTAATGTGTAAAAAATGCTTTAAATGATCTATAAATAAATGTTAATTAACATGCACCATGCATAGTTAATTAAATATTTTATTTTATTTTTCAATAGAGAATATAATTTGGCCCGCGTCGCTTGCTAGGCGGACGAATGCCAGTAGAACGCCAGTAGAAAGTCATGTTTCGGAACAAAATTTGGCCCGTCCTGGTTGCCAGACGGACGAATGCCGGTTCAACGCCGGTTGTTCGGCGGCATCAAATCTGTACCGAGCCAGGCGCGCAGCCACTACAACACATTGTCAGGTTCCAGTACAATGTTTGCACCGTTCCGGTCGTCAGGCGGACCCATGCCAGTACAGTCTTACCGACGTCTGTACAGGCGCGGTACCCTGCCAGTGGGAAATTTCCGCCTGGGTTCCAGCAAATAGCAAGTTGTTCGTCTTGAATAAATTATAGCAGACTTTAACACTAATAGACAAATTTCCTACCTGAATAAATTTCCATACGATACAGGCATAAATTATAAGATCAAGTTTTAGTTTAAATATAATTAGATTAGAAATTAATTCTCCTTAGATTATAATTCATATGATTTTATTTGCTGAATTTCGCCTCCGACAGTGTTTGTCGCTTAATTATATTATAAGCGAGACCAATTAATGTGTAGCACTATAAATTCCCCGTGTATATGAAATGAAAATCTCTGAAAATTGAGATAAGACAGAAGATGTGGAGCTTTAAAAGCGTAGTTTGCTGGGCAAGCTAAAGTCGTTATTAATGTAATGGCGTACCCTACTTGATATTCAAAGTTGTGAACAAAGCTGAATCAGAGTCCGAAAATTCGAGAGTAGGTAACAAAGGAAAAATTATAAACAAAAACTGGCGCAATTCTTACACTTGTAAAATTGTCAAAAACCGTATCTTATTTTATTTTTAATTATTATGCAATAAAAAAGAATTTACACAGTAAAACAAAGGAAAATAATATTTTTCTCTCTAAATCTGAATTAGTTAAAAATAACTAATTGTTAGCTCACATTTTTCCCAAAGATATGTTTGTGATACGTTTTTTGTCCCAATTTAATATTCTTAAAAAACTGTGAGTATAAATTTTGCTGACTTTTAGCTTCAGCAATTAGTAAACTTTAATGTAAAAAATGTTTGCCATGTAAAAATCAAATAAATTTAATTAACAAATTGATGAAATAATTTTCGTGGGGATGGAATAGAGAATACCAAATGTTCCTTTGGGTTTATTGGCGGTTCTAGAGAAATAACTCATACACCATTGACAAATACCTAATTGCAAGAAGCATTATAATATAATAGGACAATAATTGGGTTATGCGCTGGTTAATACCAGACGGTGTAGAGATTGTTTCCGTATTGTATTGAATTTCAAGGAAATAAATATGTCTAAAATCTAATTATTGATATCTTTGAAAAACAAAATCACAATTAATTAAAAAACTGCTCAGTAAATTATAACAGATTCAAAACAAAAAATCCGTCACTGATTAAAGTTAAATAAAAAAAAGAAAGAAAATTTAAGTGTGTACGAGGAATTGAATTAAAATTGAACTAAAAATAATTGAATACTTCTAAAAGAGTTTATCTCTTTATTCAAAGAGTTGAAAATAATTGAATTTTTCCAAAGAACTTTGTAACTTATGAAAATAATTCAAATTCTTGCGACGTATTTACTAAGAATTTTTTTAAATAATTAAACTCTTTCGTAAAATTTGTTTAAAATTGTATTTAATATAATTGACTTCTTGCAAACAATTATATTAAAATTATTAAAAATAATCGAAATTTTTAAAAGAAATTTATTAGAACTTTTGAAAAAAATTAAATTCTTTCGAGGAATTCAATTCGAATTGTATTGAAAATAATTGAATTCTTATTTAAAAAGAATTTTATAAAAATTGGTAAAACACCGAATTCATTCGAAGAATTTTATTTAAAGTTTTACAAATAATTTAATTAAATTTGCACTGAAAATAATTGGATTTCGACAAATTTTTGAAACTAATTAAATTGTTAAGAAGGAATTTCAATGAAGTTTGAATACGGAAATTAAATTCTTTTAATTAAAAATTAATTGAAAATAATTAACTATAAAATTCTAATAACCACATTATATCAAATTTTTTAAAAATATTAAAATAATTCAATTCTTTTGAAGATTTTTAATAAAACTTTTAAGAATAATTGCACTTTTCGAGGAATTCATTTAAAGTTTTATTCAAAATATTTGAAATCCTGCGATATTATGAAAATAATTGAATTTTTGCAACAAACTTATTATGAAAATTATTAAAAATAATTCAATTCCTCAAGAGAATTTTATTATTTATAAAAAGAATTGAATTCTTGCAAAGAACTTTATTAAATTTTTTTAAATATTTGAATTCTTGCAATGAATATTATAAAAAATTTTTTAAATGATTGTTTCTTTTCCAAACATTTTTGGATAATTGAATTTTAAATAATAGAACTCCTGTGAAATTTTTATTATTTTAGAAAATAACTGAATGTTCGTGTAGAATTTTATCAAAAGTTTTTTTAAATTATTGAATTCTTTTGGGAAATTTTATTGAAATATGTAATAGATATTGAAAATAATTTAATCATTTGAATGAATTTTATTAAAATTTGATGAACTGTTCCAAAAAATGTTATTACAATTTTTTAAACTAATTTCTTTTGTTCCAGCTATTAGCAAATTTAAAGTAGTACAAATTGTCAAAAATAGAAAAAATTTGCTTTTTGTGTCACAAATCTAAAAAAAAATTATCCAAATAGTATCAAATTGCCAAAAAATAGTATATAGTAGGTTTCAGTAGATGAGTACGAAGTCTGAAATTAGTTAATATTTTAACTGATTTAATTATTAGAGAGAGAGAGAGAGTAATTTTTTTTCGTTTTATTCTCGAAACTAAAAATTTATTTTTTTTCTAAATTTTCCGAGGATGGGAGTTTTATCTTTTTTCTTCTTTTTAGGCCCTGCTGCACCATTAAGCGATCTAACCGGATATAGTCATTGTGGTTACGTTCTGGTCTTAAAGGGTTTAGTTTTTCCACAATGGAAAAGAAGAGTCCTCGCTGTCATTGGTTCCAGACTATTTCTCTATCCTGGTAAGTACGCCATTTTCTCGTAGTTAAATAATTTTATGCATTAAAATATATATTCTTAGAACCAATTATTTTCTATTCATTTACTAATTTATTTATTTTACGGCATAAACGGGTTTATTGCACTGAAAAACATTTAGTCGAAAAATCCAACTACCACACCCAGAAAGAAAATATATTTAACTCACAATCAGAGCCAACTAGTCTTTTTGTTTGTTTCAAATAAATTTTTTTATTTGGTTTGAATAAAATTTTATTTGGTTTAAATAAAATATTTTTTTGTTCAAATAAAAGTTTTATTTAAGTTGAATAAAATTTTTATTTAAAAGAAATACATAAACTATTTAGCTCTGAGACAAATATACTTTTATTTAACTCAAATAAATTATATTTGGTTTAAATAAAATTTTTCTCTGGGTGCATTATGTAATTGAGTGGAAAGCAGTTAAATTAATTTCTTTTTAGTTGTGCTAACAATGTTTGTGTAGTTGATTTTACTATTTTTGATGCAGTTAAAAAATAATAGTTCATTTGACAAAAAAAAGTAGTTAAATAAATTACAAAATTTGATTGCATCAACTATAACACAAGTCAACATGAAATTTGCGCCTGACATTTAAGATATTTTTTATGATAGATTTATCGACAGATATGAGGAAAAAAATTTTATTTTATAAAAAAGTTTGCTTTTGTAGATAGGAGAACGTTTTTACCATATTTTTGATAATTTAGGATTTTCTGAATGAAATGGTCAATCAAAAATCTGTAAAGTACGTAATAAAACGTACAGATTTTTGATTTACCATTTCATGAGTATTGCATGAGTATAGATGTGCAAAATAAATATATTTTTTAAATTTTATTAAAAAATGGTGTCTGTGCAGCATTTCATTAGAAAGCGTCTCGTTTCAGGATTCCATAGTCAGACAACTAACGTCCTTAATTTTTTTATCTGGAAAAAAACGAAAATGTTGTCATTTTCTATACATCAACAGCTATCGACACACGAAGGTTTTTTTATATTACTTACTTTTATTTTTATCAACAATTTTTAGAATTTCTTTTTTGAAAATTGTCATTTTTTTGTTCAATTACGCACCATTTTGTAAAAAATCAAAATATCGAAAAAATCCTACGTGTGTCGATAGCTGTTGATGTATAGAAAATTACAACATTTTGGTTTTTTTAAAATTAAAAAGTGAGGACGTTAGTTGTCCGGCCATGGAACCCTAAGATACAGACGCCTTCCAATAAAATGCTACATCGCAGCCATTTTGCAATGAAATTTTTTTAAAAAAATATAGTTTGCATATCAATACTCATGGAATAAAACGTAATTTACAGATTTTTAATTGATCATTTTATTGAGCCAAAAAAAATTTCTAAAATATGCCTAATTTTCGTGATTTCCCCCCTTAACATGTCTGCAACTACTACAAAAGCAAACTTTAAAAAGAATACGTATATTTTTCCTTTATTTTAGTGAATAATAAATAGAAAAATCGTTATATAAACCCAGGCGCAAATTTTTTTCGTTTTTTTGCTGAGCTGTGTAATCAAATATTTCAAAATTTATTTTTGATTAATTTTTTTATAACATAATTAAATTTTAGAAATATATAATTAAAAAGTTTATAGATAATTAATTCAGAGAAGAAGCTTAGTTAAAAATTGTAAATAATTAAATTTGTGTAGGATTAAAATTTTAATTTTTAAATCATTTAAATTCCTTTGGAAAAATAAATATTTGAAATTTTTTTGTTTATCAAAATTATTGAATGTAAAATGAGTGAAAGTTCAGGGAAATACAAAATGAAATTTTTGTGACAACAGTAAATAAAATAAACGTTTTTTTGTCATTTTTTGAGTCTGCAATCAACTGAAGCGCCTTTTCTTTTCGCCTTAGAGTCGCTCCGAAGCTTGTAATAAAAGTTTTATTTTTGTTAAATAAAAGTTTTATTTGTTCTAAATAAAATGTTTATTTAATACGAATAAATAATCTAGTAGATTCTGTGATAAATACACTTTTATATGTATTAAATAAAGATTTAAATGAATCATTTCTCTGGGTGTCCAAGTGATTTTTAGTGTTTGAAGTTATCATGGAATTTAGATATTAGAAGGAAAATGTTTAAAATCCATAGCACACTTTGTTGGCTAACCAGTTATTCGATAATTAAAACCACAATTCCTGTTGGTTTCAATTAGAAATTGCTCTTATTTGCACACGACCTTTCGTATACTCTGATCTGTATAACGAATTTTGTGGTTTTGCTTATATCTGGAATTTAAACGAAGCTTCGATTAACTTGTTTGGTTAATGTGTTCAAGTCGTGAATTCTATTCTAAAAATAAACCCCTAGTAGAAATTTGTCATGGAGCCACTCGATTGTTCAAGTTACTGGACAGTTTTTGTCACGGACGCTGATTCTAGGCGGACTGGTAAATAACTGTGAAGTTACTGACCAACGCTCTTCGTCAAAGATTCAAGTTGAATTTGATATTGGCTAGACATAACTTCTGTCTAGTTTTTTTAATGTTACTTTAAAGTACTCCTAGAAATTATAGTTCTAAGTTTGTCGTGTCGATGACACTGCAATAATGTCTAATAACTAGACAGCTCGACTGATTATTTGCTAGAGATAAATTTGTTCTTATTCTTTCCAATATTTTAAAACTTTTCATTTTAATTTGTTATTAATTAAAAATTTAATGAATTTATTATTATTAATTAATAATCAATTAATCATATTAAATAATAAAATTAATTAATAAATATTTATAATAATTTATAATAAATTAATAAAAATAATTAAAAATTTAATTACAGTAATCAATTTATTTATTAATTGTTAACGTTGCAAATTAAATTACTAAAAAGTTATAATAAGTCAAAAATCATCTAAAATGTTTTATTACATAGAAAATATTAAAAGTATATATACCAATGCTTAAAATCTCTAGTTACGGCACTGAACTGAAACATATGTGCAGTGGTTATTAATTCTCAGTATCCATTGCGTTGAACGACCGAGTGCGTTAAGCGGTGCGACTTTAGTCCAGCGGGACCCGGGTTCGCTCCCCGTTACCCCCCAAGATTTTTTCGGTGAAATTGCGTTATCGTTTTAAGGTTTATATAGATTATAATTGTTTATACTAACTAGCTCCTCCGACGGCCGCAAGCGGCCGTCTACGGTGCTCGTTGTTATATGTCCATTGTCCAAGTCGTCCAAGTTTATTATTTTATTAATAATAATATTCAAATTTTTTCAGTTAATAATTTGCTTATTTATATTTGAAATGTTGACGTTTTTTTTGACAATGCAAAATAAGATTTATTATGTGTACTTTCTCTTAACAAAAATAGAATTTATATATTCGAGCTCTTTTTAAATAACATACGACTGCAGCGCCACCTTCACATGTACAAACAATTTTAAAAACACCCTTCTATTAAGATTTTACATTCTCATTGCCCATTCTTTACTTCGATACTTTTCGATACATTCGACCTTTCCACTCCATGTCTTTTTTAAGAAAGGATAAAAAATATTTGTTTCAGTGTTATTGTTAATAATAGTGCATTAAAAAAATGAAAGTTGTCTGAAAACAGTAAATATTTAGGATATTCTAATTTAGAATTTTTTTTAAACGAATTAAAAATCAAAAAGTAATGTAGAAAATTACATGTAATAATTTATTATTTACATTATTTTTATATAATAATTCAACCAAAAAGACTAGAGACAGGAGGTAAAACTTCGGTAGTGGGGGTATGGCAATGCCTTCTGCGCATCTAAACAAGTAAACACGGGAAAATATATTCTATACAAATACAATATGAAATATAAAAATTTATATTTTTAAACATCTTTTAGTTATTAAAAAAAAGTTTTAAAACCAAAAAAATGTGTAAACTGTAGCATGAAGTGTATTAAAAGTTAACAAAAAGTAATAGTCATAGTGTTGTGTTTATCTTTCTTCTTGTTACAACTTTTCACACAGCACGTTTTCGGAATTTTTAACTATTTGAATAACACTTCATTTAATAATCACTCACATTATTTCCATATATATGACGGGTTCCACGTTAAGTGACCCAGGTCAAAATTTTAAATGTTTGGGATCGGGTTAAAATTTTGCAGAAACAGTAGTCCTATTAGATACAATTAAAAATACCGCAAATATTATTAATTTATTTAAACAAATATTAAAACTGGAGGGGGTCAAAGTTTAAATTTTTGGTCTAACATGGAATATTTGAAAAATTTGTAGTTTCTTTAAAACAAAACGAAAATACGTTTTCTATTTTGGGTTTTTCTGCTGTTTTTCAACACTCTCTAATGGTGTAAACAAATGTAGAGAAGAAAAATGTTTTACCTTGAAAAATTAAATTAAAAAATAAAATTTCATTTTTTCATCAAATGGACAGTTTTTATTTTTTAAAAAAAATTTTTATCATAAAGGTGAGGTTTTTTCCTAAAAAAAATGTATAGGTCAAAACGTGGGACAAGAACTTTTAACTGGTCAAAATAAACATTTACTTCTGCAATCCACCGCCCCTGCTCGTTGTTGGGCTATATATTGTTTATAACAATTGAAATAAATTATTTTATGCTTTATTAATTATCTGGTGGTCATATTGGATGAATTTAAATTGATTTAGATCATGTGCATCAACGGAATAAGAAAATAAACCTCCTTTTTTTAAAAAAGTGTATTAATTTGTTAACTTTGATTTAAAAAAAATTATAAATAATTAAAATCTCCAAAATCTGCCTCGAAGGATGTCTTAAGAATTTATTCCCCTTTAACTTAAGACAAAGAACACTCAAATCGGTTAAAAATTGTAAGCTATAGACATTTTTTAATAGTAAATTGTAAAGAAAATTCCACTGTGGGACGGTGCGGTGCACAGCAGAAGTAAATGCTTAATTTGACTAGTTAAAAGTTCTTGTCCCACGTTTTGACCTATACATTTTTTTTAGGAAAAAACCTCACCT